CTGAAAAATAAGACTGTGAGATTTGGAATGAGAAAGATCTGAGTTTGAATTCAGATTCTGTCATTTACTAGAATTTGAATAAGACTTAACATTTCTAAGCCTCTGTTTTTTTATCTGTAAGACGTGGATAATAATGCCTATGTTTTAGGGGGATAGGGAGGATTCAACACAAACATCAAATATCTAGCAGAACCACTCAATAGTAGCTATTATTATTGTTGTTGTTTTTTTAATGTGAGGTGAATATATAAGTAGCAGGCAAACAGAAATGTAACCGAAATGAGGAAGCTCTGATAATCCAGGACTGTAAATAAAGCTATGTGACATTTAACACCCAAGTTACCGTGGTTTAGAACCCGGTTCAGTCTACCCAGGAGTTCTTGCCTTTTCTGAGTTTCTCCCCCCTCCACCCCCAATGTTCTTGGGAATCCCCAGGTTCATGAATCATTGATTCTCCTTGATGCTAACCTCTATCTCCTGCCTGGAAAGGGAGAACAGAGACCAGGATGCATTCTTTGAGGTCTCCAGGCTGCACTCTCTGTGCCCCGGATGCCTCTTGCACCCCGTGGCTAGTGCAGGAGGGCAGCTGTTGGTGAGAGCTGGGTCCAAGCCTTGGCTGTTCTCCACAGGAATGTCTGATGAAACTCTCCCCGGGCCCCAGGAATCCCAGGACTTGTTTGTTATCCCACTACGAATATTTATCTACAGATTTGCTCAAGCCAACCTGGTTTTCTGATGCCCTCTTTCTTAGTCAGGGATGTTAGTGTGGCGCTGTCCAATAGAAATATAGTGTAAGCCACATATATAATTTTAAATTTTTTAGCAGACACATTAAAAAGAATATACAGAAATAGATGAAATTAATTTCAATAATTTGTGTTATTTTACCCAACATATCTAAAATATTATTTCAATAGGTAATGCATATAAAATTATTAATGAAATAATTTACATGATTTTGTTCATAGGAAGTCCTTGAAATCTAGTGTATATTTTATGCTTACAACACATCTTAAATTAGACTATCCATATTTTAAGTGCTTAGTAGCTACATGTGGCTAGGGGCTACTATATGAGTCAGTACAATTCTAGAACAAAACTGTCTGGGCTCAAATGGTACAGCTCTCTAGGAGTATAGGTCTTGATAGCCACATGCAACTATTTTTCCTGAAAACCTACTTCTGGCTCCAGTTTGGCTAGATCTGTGAGAGGTTCAATTTACTACATGTTGTGCCTAGAATTATTCCTTTTAACCTACTGTCACATCTGGCTTACCAACTCAGACTCCATTTCTCTTTCAGTGAATTCCTTTTCTCTTGTATTTTCCTACTTTGCTGCCACCCTAATCTATATGAAAAAAATATTTTTAATCCTTGGACATCAATACGTAAGGGGCAAGAGAGTCAGAGTTTTATTTTTGTTTCTCCTGTGAGATTCCTCTGCTCTGACATGGATTTGTGGATACAAAGAGATGTGTGGGAATCTGTAACCCAAGTGCACAAGGGTATGGTGGGGAATGGATATCTCATAACAATGGTCAGCATTGTCTGAGCCTTAGGCAATGGCCCAGCTAAAATGTTCTCTTGACATACTCACGGAAGTGATGCTAAATGGAGTAGAAAGGAATGATATGGAGGGGCAAAGAGCAAGAAGTTCTGTACTGCTGGAGACTGCCTGGAGGAGGCGTATGCTGGGAAAAATTCTCAACTCGTGCCAATAGGGTTGTCGAGGTCCTACTGTGTGCAAGAGTTGCACATGCCTTGTTTCATGAAGTACACGTTATTATCTCTCTTTTATAGATGAAACAGGGAAACAGAGAGGTTAAGTAACTTAGCTAAGGCCATAAGAAAGAAACTGGGTCTGGGGGTCTCCAAAGACCCTACCCTTTCCATTGCCTCACTGCTGCCCTGGAATAGTAGGTGGCTAAGGATTGGCTCAAGGGACCAGCTGGAGTGTAGCTGAGGAGACTTTGGTAGAGAGTAAGAGCTCTTTGTAGCAAACATTTGTATATGTCTTACAAAGGACGTGGTTATAGTGCATCAATGTTCCAGTTCCTATTGCTGTGAAATGAACTACCCCCAAATGGCATAAAGCAATGCCTTATGCTCATGATTCTGTGGGTCAGGAATTCAGACAGGGCAGAGTGGAGCTGGCTTGTCTCAGCTCCATGACCTGTGAGGCCTCACTTGGAAGACTCAAAGGCTGAGGCTGGAAAGACCTAAAGACTCATTTACTCACAGAACTGCTGGTTGAGGTTCGCTGTCAACTAGGTGCCTCAGACCTCTCCATGTTGTCTCTTTACATGGACTGGTTTTGGCTTTCTCATAGTATGGCAGCTCAAATCTAAAGGCTAGAACCGGCCAAGAGTCACATTGCTCATCATTGCCTCGCCCCAGAAGTCATGCAACATGAACTTGATCTTTTTATTGAACAAGATGGTCACAAAATCCTGTCCAGTATCAAGGGGAAGTGAAAAGACTGCCTCTTGATGGGAAGTAGCAAGATTCCAGAAAGGCAAGTGGGACCAGATATATTGCTGTGGCCATTTTTGGAAAATGCAATCGGCTGTGGTCATTATTAGTGTTGTTGACCCACTGATGGATGAGGAAGGAGAGATAGATAGGTAACTGGGAAGGAAATGTTTTGTTGAAATGCCAGGGTCTCTAGTTAGTGTCAAAATAGTGAAGGGGAATTAAGAAAATGATAGAAAGGCAAATAAGCTCAAATTCAAATAGGAAGTATTTGAAAAAGTTTCCTCCAGCTGAAGAGCCCTTCCAAACAGCAGTGATGCTGCCCTTGGCTTAGTCCACTGGTCTGCTTTATGCTCTTCCTTGTGGCCTCAGGCAGCCTCCACAGGCCAGGCTCTGTGTCCTGTGTAACCTTTGACAGCCAGTCTCAGGCAGCACCGTGACGGCTTGCCTTTGGCCTGCCCTCCTTTCTTCATGGCTTAACCCCAAGCCTCCTTTTACTAGAGATTTGGAATTTCATTAAATCAGGGCTTGAACTGAGAAATAACGACTACCTTTATATGCACTGGCTCTTTACTGGCAAGCTATTAGAGGGAAGATAAGGTTCTATAACACTGCAGGAATAAAGCCCAGAAAATTATGCGAAAAGCTCCACCATCCAGGATAAATGTTATAGGAGGCATTAACCTTCCATAAAAATCCCTTTGCTAGGCAGGAATTTAAATGACAGTCAGTGTGAGAGGAGATATTTAGCCTTAGAAACATATTATACTGCCACCTTCTCTTAGAATAGCTGGTTCTTTGGTTATCAGAGGCTGAGTATTGTTCATCTTTTTCACAGGAATGCTCAGTAGTATAGCAAATATGTAAATGTGGTCTTCTGAGTTCACCCCTATATTGCACTCCATCCGTCCCAAGAAGTTGTATATGCATTCTCTGCTTTGATTTAGGAAAATTGAATAAGAAATTGATATCTAAGGAAAGCCAAAAGAAACCCTTATCGTAGCTTCCAAATTACTTATCATGAGGGAAAAATAATTTTTCTCCCTAAGGTATAGGCACATTTCTCCAATGAATGTGTTAGGCCAGAAATTACAGTGATTACCCTCTCTTTTTATATAAATTTGGCTCTTCCAGAAAATATGCCAACAAAATCATAGGGCAAAGACTTTATATAGAAGTTTATACACATGCCTCACGTGTTTACATGCGTTGGGGGAAAATATTAGGTGATAGTATAAAAACGATTTTTCTGCTTTAAATATTCAATCTCTGCCAGGATTTAAATCTCAACATTGGAAGCATTTGTAGCAGGATGGGAGACAAGACTTTCCCTAAAGTCTGAGCGTCTCAGCTGAAGCCCTGGAACTGCTTGCTGCCCTCCTGCATTATGGTCTAGAAAAGATGCTGAATTTCCCAATGGGCCAAGTTGCAATATCAACCCTCTTGAGTTCCACTGTGCCTCTTAAGAGATTCCTCCCAAGGAATCCACAAATGGGGCATTATTTTCTTTCTGTTGACCAAGAAGCTTTGAAAATATTATTGGGAGGACCCAGAATTAAAACTTACAACAAGTGGTTGAGATATCCACAGTGGCCCCTGGTTTATTTAATCAAGTTGACGTACTTATGAGGCAGTGACTAAGAATTTTAAGACTTTCTCTAGACTAAATCTCAATCAAATCAAACTGATATTAACTTTGAGAGTTGGAAACAAGAAGTGAAAGGAAAACAGATCTTCTAGAAGGCTTCTAAAAGGTTTTTCCTAGTGATAAAATTATTGTGTACCCAACTAATTTGTATTGGAACATTCTTATTTAGGATATTGAAAAGCTTGATGCTTTAAAGTGGGCTAAGTTAAAAAAAATCTTCAGGGAACTGTATCTGATCTCAAATGAGATTTGTTATTTTAGGAAGAGTGAAATCAATATTTGTTGAGGGCCAATATGTGCCAGTAACTGTACTCATTATATCCCTTTGATCACTGGACAATGTAGATATTATGATCCCATTTTTATTTAAAAGAAAACCAAGGCCTAGAGATGTCTACCAACTTGCTCAGACTTCAGATTACCTGGGCTAAACCAGAGTTTGTTACTCATCGACGCAGAATCATTCTAAGTCTTTAGAATTTCTCTAAATTCCAACATGGCCAGCCAGTTTCTTAAGTGACAAACCTAGGTACAGTATCTGATTCTTCCTTCTAGTTAAATCTAACCCACTGATAAATCCTCTCAGTTCTACTCCTAAACTGATCACAAATCCACGTATTTCTTTCAGTTGTCATTATATCATCATTGGAGCCCAGGGCATCATCATCTGTAGCCTGACCCCTTCCATTGTTTCTAAGTGTGCTCCTTGCTTCTGTCGCTTGCTCACCTATCATCATCATGCAGAGTAGCTGGAACCATCTTCCAAGAAATTAAGGTAAAGCGTGTCTCTCTTCTGCTTGGAACTCTGCAGATTTTCTATTGTAGATTCCTAGAATAAATTCTTATTCTAGATTACTGGGAATAAAATTCGAATTACTTACCTTGGTTGATAAGACCTGGTATGACTGGGCCCCAGCCTTCTTCTCTCTTTTTACCTCCTGAACTCTCTACCTTGTGCTTTAAGCTCCATTTTCCCACAGACATTTGACTGTTTCTAGAAAAGAGCAAGCTCTTTCCTGCTTCTTGCTCCTTTGCTCTCCTTAGAATATTCTTCTCCTGGCTCTTCATATGGCTGGAGTCCTGCCCTTCAGCTCTTGGTTTAAAGGCCAGTTGCTCTGCGAGACCTTCTTTGATCAGGTTATTTAAAGAGGCCCCCTCCACAAAGTTATTTGCTATCACAATGCCTTGTTTGCTTCCGTCATGGTGCTTGTCACAAACTGTGGTTACTTGATGTATTTACTTACTTGTTTGTTATCTGTCCCTGCCCTTCCCCCTGCTCAGACTGTAAGTCACATACGTGAGCAGGCACCTTATCACATTCCTCAGTGCCCGACACGTGGAAGGCACTCAACAAACCTTTGATGAATAAACTAATCCATATTTGAGTGGGCCTTCTGCTCTTGAAACCCCTCTCCACCCCAAATCACAAGGTCCATTCAATTATCCACCATCTTTTCAGTGTCGTATTGGGCAGAAATGTTGGAGTTGGCTTAAAGGACTCTGGACTCTACTTCCATCTCAGCCCTTAGTTTGCTGTATGACCCTGAGCACGTCCTTATTCCTCTCCGGCTGACCTTTAAATTGCCCCCAAGCTCTGATCTCTGATTGTTTCCAATTTCCCTACTGCTGTCCCCCTGAAGCAACCTTAAGAGAAGCAACTTGGTTTTGACTAAGTCATTATGTTGAGATGCAGCCTGCAATTTATGTAGGTGGACCCAGGGATCGCCCTCTGTTTGGAGACTCTTGGATGGTGTTAAATGATGTCTGGGCAGGGATATCTCCAGATGTACTGCACAAGAGGCAGGTGGGTTTTATTGCTGACAGCCCCTGTGACGATGGGGAGAAACCCATGTGCCTTTTGTAACACCTCAGCCCAGCTGAACAAGCACAGAGAAACCAGTCCTTAATAGTACATAGTGTCCACAGCCTTTCATTCTAATCACTTCAGAGGTTTGAGTTCATTACCAGGAATCTTAGTCTGCAAAAGCAGCTAGAAAGCAAGCTCCTGCAGGTGGGCTGGATCTGGACTGGGTGACAGGGCCCATTTGGTTTCCTGTCCTGGGCCTCCTGCTCTTGGGAGCCTGCTTTCTCCTGCAATGTTTATCTGGGGATGGAGGAAGACAGCAAGGTGGGTGCTATGTGCTGTGCTAAATGCTCTGTGTTCATTGCTTCACCAAACGCTGTGCAGCAGTTATTTTTCTCATACTATCCCCATTTTTCAGATGTGGAAGCTGAGGTGTGGAGAGATTAAGTAGCTTGCTTGAAGTCCAAGCGTTAGGAAGTGGCAAAGTTCTAGAGTGCTCCCTTTGTGATCTCTGCCTCTCTCTCATCTCATTGGTCAGTTCCAGTGTCACAGGGAGACCTGAACGCCACAGAAGGAGCCATTTTTCAGGGACTATTGGAAAAGCCAATGTTGTGGGTCAAGTGTGCTGGGTTGGATTTGGCAAACAAATTCCCAGCAGCCAAACTTCGTAACTTAAGAAACAAAATTAGGCAAATTGCATCAGTTGTCAACATAGAGACAAATAAATGGGTGTGGAGAAGAATCCTCTGCTTAGTAGGAAGAAAAAAAATAAAAACATTGAAGTGAACTTGAAAACAAATTTTTTTTATATCCCTATTGGAATCATGGCTTTTGGGTGTTTCAAGAAAGCTAAAATTTCCTCAAGCCAGCAAATCAACCTTTTAGAAGGGTATCTGGGGCCTGAAAGAAGAGATATTCAACAGTGTTTATGGGATGGTGACATTGGGCTTGGCCCTGCTGGTCACTGAAAATAAAAAGGTGAAGAAGATATAGCCCTGTCCTTGCAGAGATCAGGCTAAGGGTGGAGGTTGGGGACAGACAAGTGAGTGGACAATTCTATATGCTATGATTCAGGCTATGACAGAGCTGAGAACAGGAGCTGTTGGAACAGGGGAGAGAAAATCCCCTAGAGGAATCAAATTTTGAGATAAGGCTTGAAGGATAAGCCAGCAAAATGCAGGAGACTAGTGCAGTCAAAACTACAGAGCCCTAGGATGTGGGGAGCGTCTGGGGCAGGAGGAGAAGAGGCCGGAGAGGTCCTTTATAACTCGACTGCATATTAGACTTTGGAGCTCGGATGTTGTCCTGGGGTGACAATGTTAGATGATGCCTCTGGGGGGCCATTTGAGAATGTACTGGAGAGAACAGACTAGAAGAAGGTTTCTCTAATAGTTCAGGTGGAATTGAAGCAGTCCCAAGTAGGGCAGTGCAGTATAGGAAAGAAGAGGACGAACTCAATCATGTAAGGAATTCTATTATTTGCAGAATTTTTATGTTAAGGTGATATAATGAAAGGACCTGGCACAAAGCAGATGCTTACTGTGTGGACGAGAGCTGAGTATACAGCAGGAGTGTATTGCACATACTGTTAGAAATTTGTATATAAATGCACCCTCACATATACCAGCTATGTAATTTTTATGATAAACATATATACCTGAAAATTTTATGTTAAAATATTTACTTTCATTACAGAAAGTGAATGCGAATTATGGCAATTTGGAAGCGTCTAATGTTCTGTACGTTAAGATGACAAAATGTTCTTTCCAAATATTCATATTTAGTAACAAAGTTTTCTACTTGATTGCTTATTATTTTATTGTACTATTACAGATGTTGTGTTTGATTTTAGAGTGGAATTCGCTGTTCCATATCATTAAGTAAATTCTCAGAGATATAATTTATTTCACTCCTCAGAGAATAGAAGGAATTCAGTAGCTTTGAAGCATGTGCCTATCTTCCAGGGAGTTAGAAAAACATAAAACACCTTATTGAATTTTTTTCCATGAATAAAGACAGGTTTCTTTTGTTGGGGAAAGATAATGTTGAAGATGGGATGTATTTGTTGTGTGCTGGAGATGAGCTGTGGTAGCTTATGACTACTTATCCTTCAGAGCTAGAGAGAGCCCATGGCTGTCTGCCTACCCTAGCTAAATTAGATCCCCCATTCAGTCCTCCTCATGGCACCCTGTTCTCATCCTTCACAGTAATCTTCACAGTTGTGAATTACATTATTTGGGCAGATTATCTATGCCTGCAAATTCTTTCTTCCTCCTTCCATCAGGAAGAGGTGGGATCTGTGAATCTGGTCGGATTCTTTGACTGCTAGACCAATAGGACATGGCAGAAATAACTATGTGAGAGTTTCCAGGCTCAGACCTTAATAAACTGGTAGCTCCTGCTTCCTGCCTCTTGGCGTGCTTTCTGGGAGCTTGAGCTGTGAAGGAAGAAGCCTGATTACCCTGACATTGCCATGCCAGAGAGTGCCCATGGAGGCACTTGGTCAACAGTCCTACCTTAGCCCAGTCTTCCAGCCATCCCTACCAAGGCATATGACATGTTAGTGAACTACTTTGGACCCTTCAGAAAGCACCATCTCTTCCCGTTGAACACTGTCACGTCACTTCCATTGATACCATGTGGAACAGAACTCCTAGCTGAACCCTGCCTGAATTCCTGACCCTCAGGATTGTGAGATATAACACAGTGGTAGATGCTTTGAGCCATTATGTTTTGGAGTGGTTTGTTACACAGTAATAGACAACTGGAACAATGCATATTCATGCTTATTTATTAATATCTCTTTTCTCCTTTAGACTGTAAGCACTATGAAGACAACAGGGATCATGCCTCATTTGTTCACACTGTGTGCTCAAACACTTAGCCCAGTCTTGGCACACATTAGCAACTTAATAAATATTTAATTGAAGAAGGAATAAAAGTTCCATGACAGAAGTTGGGCGGAGTAGAGTTAGCCTAAAACATAGGTGTGGATCCACTGCTCTGACTCCTGAATTCTTTGTGGACTCCCTTCTTTAACCCATAGTTTTCCTCCAATGTGCATCTGTGTCCTGATATTAAAACTCTTCTGCTTGTTTGCATGCAATGCATTTTGAGGCTAAGGATGCTATTTGTCTTAAGTTAGAGATACATATTTTTTCCTAGAACCCATCTTGTGCCCAATTTTCTCTGAGAGGTGATGGCAAAAGGGTGAGTATTATCTGGATCTGAAATGAATTAAGAAGCAGAGTCAATCTATCTATCTATCCATCTATCTATCTATCTATCTATCTATCTATCTATCTATCCATCCATCCATCCATCCATCCATTCTATCCTATCCATAGAGTATAATTTTGGCTGTGATGTGAAACTTGAAAAATAATCCCTGGGTATTAGCATTTGATACCACACTGTACACAATGAAACAGGTATGTTTATAGTAGGAAAGGTGGCTTCTTTCCTGACTTGCTTTGCTAGCCAAGCTTCTGCTTTCTTAGTGTCCACAAAACACAACTGTTAGGAAGGCTTTCATTAAAAAGTAGAATGCTGTCACTGGGTCCTTTGTCTTTTCAATACACAATTCTGAATCTGTCCCAGTAATTCTAATTATTATTATTTTGTTTGGTTGCTATTCCACCCTCCACACCACAGCATATGGTAAACATTTGGTGACTCCTGACCTCTTTATTAACTTCTCTGAGAATCTTTTCCATTACCTAGGAGATAGGTCTTTTAGAAAGGAGCCAAGCTGATGTGACTGCTGAGGTGGTTTTAATAATAGTATTTTGTTTTCTTCAGAGCAGCTCTTTATCATGAATTAAAAAACTGCCATCACGACTTTTTAGCAGGCTCTGTTTTAAATGGGCTGTCCTGTCTGAATGCTCATCATTAATATTACCCCTTGGCTGGGAGGTGGGTGTGTATCAAGGCAATGGGATGATGGACTCGATGCTTACTTTCTCACAACTGGGCCATTTTACATTAGATAAACTGGAGTCCTAAAAGCCCTCTTGCTTCATTTATATAGATATTTTTCCTGATGGGGATTTTGAAGAATTTAATGGCAGTATAGTCAGAGATAATGCAAAAAGTAGTACCCGGTAATAATTTATTAATGTGATTAGTACAATGGAAGACTCAGGGAGCAATTCCATTTAGGGGGGTCCATTGGGTATAGGTGTGTAAGTGGGTAGGGGAAGGGGTACTCATGTTGTCAGTGATCATGTTAAAAGCTGTGTTGCACCAAGGGAGTCTTAAAATTTCACTCATGATTGAAATAATCGAGAAAAGTTGGTGTGTTAGTCAGGATTCATTTGGTTGCAAATGACAACACAACTCAGACTATCTTAAAAGAGGTAAAATTTATTGACATATATAATTGAAAAGTCTCGGTCTTCAGACATGGTTGAATCCAGGTGCTAAATAATGTTGCTCTGTTGGATTCATTCTAAGGAAGGCTTTTTTGAAGTAGTGGCAAAGATGGCCTCTACCAACTCAAGGCTTTTATAGTCCTTACAACTGACAATGCCTGAGAACACAGAGCAGATTCTTTTCTAAAAGATCTAGCAAAAATCCTGGGGTTGATTCTCCTTGGCCTTGTTTAGGTCATATAATTATCCCTGAATTGTGGCCAGAAGGAGGATGTGTTCTAATTACCCAGGTCTGGGCCATGTGCTTATCCTTAGAACTGGGAAGCAAAGCCAACCTCGGTTGAGTCATGTTGACTAGAAATGGTGATGAGGTGGTTTCTCAGAGGACAGCCTCAAGACATATTCCATTACAATCGCTTATTAGTCTTCTTGGATCCTAGAAGCAAAGAGTGAGATGCTTCCTGAACTGATATTCAGGTGGGAGACCTGAGTCTAGACGCATTCTGTTGTTCACTCACTAAATGATTGTGTGCTAGTCACTTTCCCTCATGGAGTCTCAGATTCCTCATTTGTAAGAGTTTGGACCACGTGATTCTGCGGACCCCATCCAGCTCAAAGATTCTACAGTCTTTGCCCTAGCTGGGAGGATTATTATAACATCCAGAGAGATGAAGCACAGTAATGTGCTGCACAAACACAAGGGGTTTCTGATTCTAAGGGCAATGGCAATGATGACGATTCTGGTCCTGCGCTCTATGAGAAACAGCCCTCAGTCTGCTGCTCTCAGAGACGCTGCTTCAGAGCTCTTCCCCTCACTGCCTCCCCCACCCCCACCCAGCTCAACAGCGATGCTGGTGAGAGACTTCCTGGCTGCTCTAAGGTCACTGGGACAAATGGGAATGTTGGCCCATTGCCTGAAAGTGAGTTTGGCTAACAAGTTCCTTGCCCAAGAAATGGAAAGACAAAACCTGCTGGGATAGCCAAGGGGAAAGAGAAGAGTGAGTGACCTCTT